AACAATTTAGTGAAAATCTCACAATAAAGTGTTTTTGGAATACGTTAGTTATGGATTTTCATCAAGTATCGGCCGATTCCATCATATATCAATGTGATACTTTCTGGTAATAACGAACATAGATATTTGCTACTCGTTACCTGCATGTATTTAATAGACAATTATTAATAGTTTGGCTGCTCGCTTTGTGGCTGGGTACTGCTAGGTATGCTGAATTTATATCTCCTTTCAGGGTTGTCTCTTGTTGATGTTCCTACACACTCTAAAATAAATTGTGGTAACGTTTCCTCCAGTGGTTTTTGTTGCCGACTAGGTCCCAGCCGAACCTATTTGCTATTTTGTTACAGAGGTATACTTTCCAACAGAATAGGTAAATTATCCCTAATAAATCCGAGAAACATGACGCTGTTTAAATGACCATAAAAAAAGTAAGGACCTACTACTTGCGTTTAAATTATTACACCCCACACATTAACAGACCATCTGTGCTGGTGATCAAGGGTTCTAAAAATATAACGGTTTTTTTTCACTTTAGTAGTGAAAGTTATGTCTGTTATCTAATCCGTTGTTATGAAAAGTTGACTCATCAGAAAAAAGCACATAATCAAGAAAAAATGTCTTCATCACCAAACGTTTCTAAAACCCATAAACAAAAATTCAGTCGTCCATCATAATCTTCCTCAAAAAGCTGTTGATGTAGTTGAATGCGAAACGGGTGGAATTTGTAATGTTTAATTATTCTTTGGATACTCTGTCTGCATATTCCAGTTGTTTCACATATTTTTCGTTGACTTGTGTGAGGGTGTTCAATTAGAGATAACATCACTAAATACTCCTTTTCCTCATTTCCAGTAACCGGTTTTGACGTTCTTGCATATTATAAGATACACTGCCTGTTCTTGGGAAAAGCTGCAACAACTTTTCCAATGAACGCTTGTTAGGATGACTCCTGTTAGGATACATTTGGGTATATACTCTAGGCCAGAGCCCTACTAATGAAAAAATAGTAGAATAGCTTTTATAGGAAATCGTAAATGTTTTGTTTTTATTGACTCCATACTGCAATTTTGATATTACTTCACTATAAAGTCTAATATATTAACTGAGAAACAAGCGAATTTAACATATTTTGCCTCAATAATTAAGACACATGCATCTTCTTATTTTGAAGAATGCTTTTTAATATTTCATAAATGGCAATAAATTTGAGTTTTCACATTTGCCTGCATTTTACTTTAGATACACGTTATTTTAAAAAAATTAAACTTGTGCTTCTAGCGAATCTACGTATTCTAAAATAATTAAGACACATGCATCTTCTATTTTGAAGAAAGCTTTTTAATATTTGAGAAATGGCATTAAATTTGAGTTTTCACATTTGCCTGCATTTTACTTTAGAGACACGTTATTTTAAAAAAATTAAACTTGTGCTTCTAGCGAATCTACGTATTCTAAAATAAATAGGTGTTTAAAACCATTTTTAAGCTTTTTATTACAATACTGCATGTTTCATTTTAAAGATAAAAAAATTACTTATAAGTAAAATATAAAAACGCATTTTGTGTAAAAAGCAGAACAGATAGATATAGGGAACCCTACTATAGTTTTAAAGGGAATCTACTCCTGCGTCAAATTACGCCACTAAATATGGGGTGTTCCATTCAACTNTCCTCTTTTGAGATGAACCATTGCACATTTGTCTATCCCGAATTTCATACCGATAGCATGCGTGTACTCTTCCACCACCCTCAAGGACTGATAGAGATCCTTCTCTCCAGAGGCATAAAGTTTAAGATCATCCATATAAAACAGATGGGTGACCTTGTGCCTCCGGTTTCCGGGGGTGCCACAGTTATATCCTCGAGTCTTTCTGAGCGCAACGGATAATGGCAATAGTGAGATGCAGAATAGAAGGGGGCTGAGGGAATCACCCTGAAATACACCCCTTTTGAAAGTGACCCACCCTGTTTGGACTCTTGTTTGACCAGATGTTATGGTAAAGCGAGTTCGCCAAAGTGGTATCAGTTGTTTATTATTATATTATGTTACTTAGAAACTCCCCCACAGGAATACCCGCTACTCTTGTCGAAAATAATTTCAATACCTATTTTTTGGACACAAGAAAATCTTATTTACTTCATGACTACAGGTCCTGATGATAATTCCAAATGAATTTGATTTCCAGCGATTCAAATCCAACGTGAATTGCTACATTCGCACAGGCACCGTTCTCAGAGCGCCTTAACGAAAAGTTTAGGGTGGGATAGACCCACTTACTTTGGACTACCTACGTAGTATACTTTCATTGAAATTTCAAAGTCAACAGTTTTCTTCAAAACTTCAATAGCATAGGTTACCGAAGTTTACTTAGTTGTCCAATTTAACATATCAATATGAACACCTGAAAATTTTATTGTCGTGTAGCAGGTTTCTTTGCTTACCAAAAGTGGTGCTAGTTGATGTCTTATGTAATTAATCAAAGGCCTTCAATGAATCCAAAAAAATTCCACGTGTCAGACCTTTCCTTTCCATAATTATTTGAAATGCATATAATGAATATCTCCTTTTTGAATTCCAGAGTGCCTTGAGGAAAATTTATAATTTTGTTACGACTAAAATAATGGAAGTCCACGTTTCTGGGAAGATGTTAGCTATTTGCTGTCATTGTTTTTCCAGGGTGAACCCAAAGGAAACCCTCAAACTATTTTTACCATATTTATGTGATAGAATTGAGGAACTACTGAGTGAAAATCCCAATATTCAGAATGAGGAACACGTCGATGACGAATTGCTGTACAATTTATTGATACTGTCAGAGGTAAGTATGTCAAAAATGTCACTGATATAGAAGGTAATCAAATTCAATTAGATGTTGGTTCAAAAAAAAGACATGTTTGTACTTGAACATGTCGCACAATGTAACAGATTCAAGCCTGTACTTCCTGGATGACTCTCTAAAACTGATGTTCGGTCTTAGCGAAACAATATGGATAACTATAGAGCAATTAGTATTCTTTCAAGTATCTCTAAACTTTATGAAATTAACATAAAAGAACAATTGGAATCCTATTTCATAGCAAATTACTTATTATCGCCCTCACAACATGGTTTCACTAAGAAAAAAGCACTGATACGGCACTGTGTGAACATCAAAATCGAATAGTAAGTTCTCTAGACAAAAATAAATGTGTTTTAGGATTATTTATTGACATTTCACGAGCTTTCGATTGTGTGAACAATAATCTTTTGCTCGGCAAACTCTCAAGGTATGGTGTAAGAGGAATACCCCTATCCTTACTAAACTCATACTTATATAAGAGAAGACAAGTAGTCAAAGTTGGAAAAAGGCTAAGTACTGAAAGAAATATTGAGGATGGGGTACCACAGAAATCGATTCTAGGACCCTTCTTGTATTTAGCTTTTGCCAATAACTTGTCAGTGTACCTAAATAAGAACTCGGCCATTCACTATACGTGTTATGCTGATGATAGTAATATACACACTTTGTGCTTCGATTTTATACTCTTTCAATTTGAACAAACAGGCACAACTACAAAATAGAGGAATGAGAATTATATTGAAAGGAAACCTATATACTCCCATAATTACAATGTTAACAACCCTAAATTGGCTTTCGGTATCCCAGAGACTTTTATACCAGACAATGATATTTGTGCATAAAATTG